TTTATTCTCTACAATACAACCCACTTGTTCATATCCTACATGGGTAAATATTCGTTGAATATCATCTTTTGACAAATAAGGAATTGAATGATTCTTCTCAATACTGGTCTTGACATAAAAGATGTCTTAATGAAGTTGTGATATATGAATAAGAATTTCATTATGAAGTTGATTACCATCGACAAATCTAGTTCGATGTGATATACGAATGTTTAAAGTTAATTCTTAGAGATTACGCATGCGACGAAGAAGTGGTACAATTAAAGTATCATATTCGCAAGTTAAATAATTAATTCTCAATGAACAACATTTCAAACTGGGTAGATTATTCTATAAAATACAAAGAAATAGATATTTATAAATTCAATGAAAAAAACTATACAATCGAAAATTAACTAACAATTTGTTTTAATAATTCTTTAATTACTCTTTTCTTTATTCTACACAATGCAATTCTTAATAATAAAAATGAGTGACACACGTATGTGATGTTTGAAAACATTAGAAGACAATAAACATGGAAGGAACAATTTAGAAAAATGAATAAAAATAAATATTATATATCAAAGGTTTTATCAATATGCTTCAAAATATCAAACAAAACTCATCATTTTACATAGAATTTAAACAAGAACCACTCTTTTATGTCAAATAATTAATCCTATCAAAGAGACGTGCTTATGCGCATCATATTCAAACAAATCTTGTTATTGGTGGAATATTTATCTGGCAGATAAATCATATAGTTTTATGCACTTCTAAAGGCTCATCAACTATGATATAGACTTACTGAGTTGCGCACCATTGATGAATGGTTTTTTTACATTATTAATAAGAATAATGAGAGTAAACAGTTGTTCGAGACGACCATCAAGTAAAGCAAGACAATCGTCAATATCATACACACTGATATTTAATTTGATTAGAATTGAAGAAGAAAAAGTAGTCGATGTTAAATCATGAAGTAACAAACTTGGACACATCTCAGTAGATGATTCAACAATACTCAAATACTTTAACTTTTCGAAAAAACTGAAGATGTGTGCATATACATTTGTTGTATAATTGATTATTTGTATATGAACATCTTTATCATCATTTATAAGAGTAAGATCTGTAATTTGTCGTCTGAAAATGTGTTGAAAGGGTGATTCATCAAAAGAAAAAATAAATACACATATTATATATCTCTTTTCAATGTTTTTCTTTTATTTCAATCGTTGAATAGATCATAATACGAATAAATTACCTGTAAAATAACGTAAAACAATGTCTTGATTGATATCTAATAATAAGAACAAATTTTATGTAGCATAATTTTAAATGATTTATTTTGTGTTTTAATAAATGTGCGGAAATTTTCGATCTTAAACGATCATTTTTAATCTTTACCGATAACAATTAACAGATTGTTACAGACAAAAAGACAAATAAGAAAATTAGAGAGAAAAAACTGATGAAATAGTTTTATAGTTGAAAATAATCATTTAAGATCGAAAATTTCCGCACATTTAATAAAACACAAAATAAATCAATTACCATTATACTACATAGAATTTGTTCTTATTATTAGAGACATATACAGGATAAGAAGAAAACGCAAGTGAATATTTATGTATATGCTCTCATTGTTGATCTCTCACTTGCTTCAATTAACTTTATCGTCTTCCCATCATTCACTGACATTTTGCTACGGTACACATTTTCCATTATTCCACTATTCGTTTTTCCAATTCTAATTCATTTTCAAATCTTTCTCCTTTCGATTTTTCCTTAATGACACCAGAGACCGTTTCGATTGGCCAAATATCAGCAAATATTGCTGTTTCTGCACCTTACGATCAACAGTCAAAAAGAGATTGTACAGTTTCTTTCTGCCGATAACCATTTGGACAAACGATAGAACGCAGAAGTGATGCACAAAGGAAAAATCTTATTATGAGAGATCGATCAAATAATTACAATTCTTTCATCCATGCTGTTTGTAAATAAAATTAAAAAATTTCCATGAATATTCCATCAGTATATCTCTGTGACTATAATAGTTATAAGGCTTAAACTCTAGCGTAGAGTAGATCTAGATGTCTAGTATATATGCCGTAAATATCAGCTCATTTTATCAAAAAACACATAAGAAAATTGCATTACTTGAAAGGGATCAGGACTTATTAGACATCTTGTATATAGTTTTGAAAAGAGAACATGTCAGAAAATGACTTCAGAAAACTATCATGTAAGAGGTAGAAATAGAAAGTCTTCGAAACTTCTAGAATATATCTGGACACTGAACCGAGGATAGTCGTGTGTTATTATCGACATAGCCACTTAGTTGCTACGTCACAATATGAAAGTTAAACCATGCCATACTTGACACTCTCTGAATGAAACTTGAAAAAGTTTTTTATATGAATATCTAATCAATTTTGTAATTATCTTTTATAGCATTTTTGGATTAGTTTCATTGAGATTAACATACCAGAAAGCATATATCCATAATAGGCTTGGAAATATCTGCCACATGTCACAGTGACGAGGCCAAAAATTGAGCAGATTTATCTAAATAATTTTCCTTATGACTGTTATTAAAGAAATTTCATATATATAAACTATTTCACAGTGGAGACGAATACCATTAAAATGATTTAAAATTCATCAGTTTTTTGAATTTCTGAATAATATTGTCTTATTGTTGAACTATTAGGCTATTGATAAAAAAAATAACCAAGATTATTTGGCCCTGAAACAGATTCTTATTCAATAAATTTCTCTTTTTTTGTTTCCATTTACAATAGATTTCGAAATAACACATTTTTCTTTAACAGCTTTGTTATCAATTTAACTGTATCTTATAGTTGCAAGAAGAGTAGTTGATTCTTTTCTACATCGTTACACATATAAAATATATTTATTCGACTATTGAAAAAGAAAACAATTGTATCAGAAGGAAAATTGATTATTTGCTTTCTAGAAATAATTGTTTAGATTATGATGCGATTTTCCAATCGTTTAATATCCTACAAATGCTTGTGACATTCATTTGTAAAAAAAAACACATCATTTCAAAATCAAATTCATGTCACCATTATTTTTATGAAAACTATGTAAAGAACATTTTATGTCAAATTAACATTGGTATTAGGAAGAAAACAAATAGATCGGAGCAATGAAAATCTGTATCCCTCATTATATTACGTTGGAGGAATACATTTCTCGAAAATATGCACTATAGAACATGGTGCAGATTAACTTCAACCTTCTAGCAGTGAGAAGAGAAATCACGAGCATTATGACTTCTAATGTTGAGAGAGTAGAAAGTGCGTTTTTTTGATCCTGTGATATTCTTTAACCCTTTAGCGGCAGGAATCGTATATATACCTTTTGAGCTTTGCTAAGACTTCAATTACAAAAAATCCTTTTCTTGATCAAGCCATACGAATACTCTCGCTATCTTCCATATTGCTGATATCCTAGAGGTATCGTACAACGTCACTATGCATATAAATATCTTCCTTTTCTCACCTTCTTTTGACACTCATTCGTCATCATATATTTCCCATATATATGTATGTTTAGAAGTTTCTCTCTCTTTGTTTATTGTTGTGCTTTCTTCGTTGCTGAGTTATGTTCTTTGTTTGTCTACACACTTTAGTAAGTGCTCTTGGTACATTAGTAAGATATATATACAAATGTGGCTGAATGGCATGGTCGTTGTCTCGTTTAGGTAAAAAAAATGGAAGAAAATGAAAGCGTCTACATTTAGGATTTAAGTTCATCATTGGAAAGAGTTCGCTCAGATACCTAAAACATCAACTTTTCCCTACTGCTAAGATAGAGACTTGTTACATCATTTCCATAGCATATTTGTTAGAAATTCAAGTTGATTATTTTCGTCCAGAAATTGATTCCAGAACTTATTATAAAAGAAACTTTTACAAATGGTCTTTATGAAGAGGTAAACATGCGCTTTCTTTTGTAGATGTCTTCAGTTTTCGAACTTTTTGGCTTTGTGAATATTAAATCTTTGGAAAAGAGAACTGGTAGGGAGCTGATTTTTTTGGGGGGTGGGGGAGAGGGGGGAGAAAAAGTAGAGGAAAGTTAGAAAAGCATATGAAAATACTTTCGTTTCAATCAGTTGACCAAACGACTATGCCATTCATCAATATAAATCTATGAATCTTGAAGAAAAAGTCCTTTAATATGCAAATAAAGCTACATAGCGATCGTGTGCCATTCTCAGCCTTACAACCAGACATGAGAAGAAGTATACTGCTACACGTTATCATTGTGACATTCGTAACGTTAGGTTTTGTGTTATAGTTTGTTTTGAAGAATATAATACCGTAAAATATTTCTGAATAACTGTGTATGATTTAAAATTTATTTTAGGGTTTTCCATAAAAAGCTTATCGTGAAAGGTTATAGAAAAAGGCTATCCAAGACAAGTAGTGTTTGAACTTGCAAAGACAGGAAATTACGGAAGCTTTGAAAGTGGCACCTTCAAAATCTCTGTTATTAAGAAAAATTTGGTAGCATCCGAAACTTCTTTAATCCCCTAAATTTCCGTAATTTCCTATACTGGAAATCTGATTACATCTCACATTTTCGGAGAGATGAGCAAGCATAATTTAAGGATGTTGATACAAAATACAAAGGAATATGGAACAAAGTAAAAAGCTTTCAGTGCAACTCCGTTGGAATTGACATATGAATCATGATAAAGGATAGAAAAATCTTTGAAGAATAGACGAGATAGTAACACTGAAAAATATCATGTTCGATATTTGAAGTTTGACAAAAAATAAAAATAAGTCACCATTTTCTTATTGAACTATCCGTTTTTATGTTCATAGTCTGTATGTGACGTAACATTTTTTAGTTGTCTACATCCCTAAAAAATGAACCGCACTTATGAGTTATCTATTTTGTAAGTATTAATCTTGTTCTTTTTTTCTTTCTATATAACTTATACTTGACAAGTGAATTGAGATAAAGACCTAAACATGTCGACATCAATATTATCAACTATTCAAAATCAACTTAGTTTCTATGGATACTTAATTCCTATGGTTTTAGGGAATGTTGGTAATACATTTATCGTTATACGTTTTACTCGGCAACGTAATAATGCATGCTCAGTTTATTTAATTAGTTCAGCTATAGTGAATAATATTTATTTAACATTCACTGGTTGTGCTCATCTATTTCCTTTTTATTATGGTGATCAAACAACACGTGCACTTTTTTTATGTAAAATACATGCCTATGTACCAAGTGTTCTTGGACTAATAACTAAAACAATGATTGTATTTGCATGTATTGATCGTTTTATGGTCACAAATAAAAGTGCTAGTTTTCGCACATTTAGTACACCTAAAAAAGCAAAATATGTTATTTTTGTGTCTATTTTGTTTTGGCCGCTTTGTTGCAGTCATATTGGAATAATGACAACAATTATCAATGGACAATGTGGTCAATTTGGTATCTATTCAACAATTTTTACTGTTTATGTAATCATTTTTGTTGGCTTAATTCCACCTATCATATTGAGTTTATTTGGCTATTTAACTTATCATAATATGAGACAAAGACTTCTTCGTATTCAATCAGTGGTGGGTAATGCAATTCATGCAAATATATCTATTCATCGACGACGAGATCGAGAGTTATTAATTATTGTTATTTATGAAATATTTATCTATGTGATTACAGCAACTCCATATCCCTTTATTCTTTTAGAAATGATGATTAGCCGATATATGATATCAAATAAAAGTGTTCAATATTTACAAATTGAAAGTTTTATACTTAGTATTGCATTCTTATTATTATTTGTTAATTTTGCTGCACCTTTTTATATTTATCTAATTTCATCAAAAGCATTTCGTCGAGATTTCAAACGATTAATTATAAATTTTCATTCAAAATTTAGAAGACAGCCAATCATGCCAAGGGACTCTAGAACAACACGTTATAGGTTTATACAAGATAGTCATGTTTAATTAAACTGACGTTACTACAATTTTCAATGTTGTTTGTGGCATATTTTGTCTTGTCATTTAAATGCATTTGTTTTCATATATAATTTATCTGAAATATATAAAGAAAGGAAAGGTTTCGATGAGAAATAGTGTTATTATGTGATTTAAATTGCAGTATCATTTCAGAAGAAGTGTGGCAGAAAGAATACAGAGATTGTAATAAAACAGAAACTTAAATCTATTCAAAATAAAAATGAGATCGATTTGGTTGATTACCCAGGACAATAGCTTATTGCATGCAGTGTGCTAGAGCAACCTTGTCAAACAAATTATGTGCAATACCAGCACAACTGTTTGCCGAGAATGGAATATCTTAATCACTCTATTGTAGGTCTGTCGCTTGCTTGTTTACATTGGTAAAGTTAGCAGCAGATTCGAGTATTTCGACAAGACATATGTTCTTTTACATGTGCCAAACAAGATATGAGTATCAAATTCAGAATTGAATATGTAATCGACCGAGCATAAATTCGAAGCACCAAACATTCGCACTACGACCTGTATCCACAGTAATAATGAATGTGTTAGATGCAACTCAATAAGCTTCATCGATTGGTACTAGTTTCATTCATATTCGATAGCAACTAAGCTAAGAAAGACCTATTAGTACTTCAATGGAAAATATTTTCACCCATAAGTTTTTTTTTACTATTAATATATCATTTTTTTAAAGATGTTAGTGTATATCATTAAAAAAAGGATCTATCTAATTTGTTGAGATGTCGATATGGGTCAATTTAATTAAGAAAAAATTCCTTTTCTTCAAACTATTCCAAAAACTATGTATTCAAACTAGAAGAGAAGATTCTCTAAAAATTTTCAAAAAGAACTTCTCACGTTCGGTCTATTTTATTCAAAGAACTTGTCAATATTCTTTGCTCATGTTCTTGTAGCGTAAGCGATTAATGCATCCGGCTCTTAATTAAGGAATTCATGGTTTGACTTTGTTCATCAATTACTATTCTCGATCGTTCTGCTCGTCATCATTTACTAGGATGCAATCATAAATTATCATCATTGTTGGATTTGTTACTCGAGCCCATACAAGAGCAATTATCCATAATTTTTTGCTTTCATAAGTAATTATGAAGCATTTCATTCCGAGAAAAAACGTAATTGCATCATACATTTTTCAATGTTTTTCATCTAACTTGAGATATGCGGATGGTAAGACTTTAACAGAGGTATAGTAGTAACTGATTTCAGAGTATCTTTTTCTTCAAATCTCAAATCATCACAGGAAAGGAAAGAGTGTAATAAAGAAATACTTATGATGTAATTACTTTTGTTACGAAACAATTGCTTTCTAAATAGAATGTGAGTGTAGGTCTGGGTATGAGAATATTTGGGCATTTGCGTGTATGGCCGTCAATCTCAGTGTTAATGTAAAGAAGACTCACACGAAACAACCTTATTCACACCCATGCACTTTCACACCGATACCCACAGAGTTACATCATTCAGACGCTTACACGCATAGCTACTTACAGCTACATTCTCAAGTCACGGACACCTATCAGCACTCATACCAACATTCACAAGCAACAGCTTCCCTACTGATACCACCAAAAGGTAGTGGTTTTGCCGTTCGACGAAGAGTAAGAGTTTCGGAAACTGGAATCATACACTTAAAGAGTAAATGAACCTATTGTTACTTCGTAATGAACTTTTGCAACGTTGTCCGGAAACGGACTTAAATATCGACGAATTCAGAAAGTTAAAAAGTCTTTCTCATAAAGCTGAAGCAGTAATGCAATCTTCTACATACGAAGCAAAATCTAAAAAGAATACAACCAGTCGTTGTAATATATGCTGAAGAGGTTGAGGAACTTTTCCAGTTATCATGTAATAATATTATAAATAATAATGATAAATCTATCCAGTTCACTTGATATCATCTAGTATAACACGCGCCAATATAACATTATGCTATTCTAATATAAGAATTCCTTCAATATCTAATCGGAAAACTTCTGATACTAACTATCACAATAAGCGAACAAATCACAAGTCTAATTTTTTTCTCAATCATCTGTAGTTTCTTTCTAATTATTTTCCAACAAAATACACCATGCACTATATATGTGACGATCATAACTACAATTCGTGATGCTATTAGCCACAACTATAATATTACTTTATAACGGTGAAGAAATTCAGTTGCGAAAAATAGCAGTCACTTAGTGATCGAGTCATTGTGAACCACTTTTGGCATTCTGTTGCTATAGATGTTCTCCACGCGACAGAAAATCCATACATATATTTTATTTTCTTTCCGTTTGTCATATGCATGTCGAAAACAAATTTTCTTTCGCATGGATAGGATCTATAAGAACAGAATGACAAAAATGGTTCACAATGACTTAATAGCTAAATAAGGAACTCCTATTTAGCCCAATTTTAAAAATCGCTAAAAGTGTGCAAATAATTTTACTTTTACAAATGTACCAACGTCATTCACTTCAACAGAATTAATCCTACGCTCCAAATTGTGTACACAATCCAATCAAGCTTAACGTGAAGTTTGTGACTATTGACGTTGATAAGATTAAAGTCGTCGAAAAGTGATATTGCTTTCGGTCAACATTCGAAAATCCATCAAAATTATCATTAATCGTTATAACACTCGCTGTTGTCAATAACATAGTATGAATACTTATCGATACCGATGAAACCACTAATTATTTCGAACGTATAATATATAGAATGCTTACAAAATCGAATAGATAATGATCGGTGTCGAGAAGCAGTAAAGCGACGTAATAAAAACTGGCATCAAACTTATCCAAACTATACACATTTTTATCGGCTTTAATCTCTAAAGTGTCCACTACATATGCGAAATGTTAATTGACTTGCTAAAAAAAAGAAGAATTATTACATACAATTCAATAATGCAAGTGATCTTCAAAAAGAGTTGAGAAAATATTTAAGAAACCACTGAGGTTAAAGGATATTTTACTCAATTGTGTGTTTCCTAACCATCGTTTCTATTTCATAAGCATGGATCTTTGGATCTTTTTCAATTGCGAAGTTTTTTATGATTTCCCTGTGCTACTGTTTGCTATTTGAATTTTTTCAGCGTGTGTATATTTGTGTTTTCTTGATCAGTTCTACAATGTCACAGCGTAAAACAGAAAATAAATTGTAGGCAATAGAGAAGTATATTCACCACAAATACAAATTCAAAGTTTGATTTTATAATTAGCTGCGAAATTCAAGATAAATTCATATCGCAGACTTTTCTAAGAAATCACACAGCACTCGACAAATTTTTGTATTTGATTTTGTTTTTAAAATCTATTGTACGTTATCTATAGCTCATTTATAACATGCAAAAATTTTGCATCGTAGCCTTTGCTCCACATTTGTATATTTCAGATTTCTCGAGTGAACTCTCATTTGCAAAAATAGATCCATCTCTTCATGACTATGGTAAAGACATATAATAATGTCATAGATGGACCTCTGAAGTACACTTTTCTTTGGAATAAAAGACTTTTTTTTTCGAATTATCGTTGCATATTCAGAATTAGCGTCACACACTTTGGCTCTTTACAGTTTTCAATCTTCAAATAAATATTCAAACTAAGTAACTGAAGAATTTATATCCATCGAAGATTTACAAAATGCTGAGATGACATCATCTCAAAAATGAAAAACAAAATTACCCTTCGGCAAAACTTTTACTAAAGTCTGCTCACATACTAGACTTGCTGTTGATGTTATCATGATTTGAAAATTTTCTGTTCCAAGCTTAATCTTTCAACTGTTATCTTGCACGACTATCAGAAACATCGAAGTCAGTGGAAATTTTTTTTTCAAATTTATTGAATCAAACATCACCCGAACCAGAATTTCATGCTAAAACAAACTAATTGCTTTTGTGATTAAAATAATATTCTCCAATTTTTCATTGATCTTTGCTAATGTTCATTAGAATATGAAAAAAATTTCTGATAAAGCAAATTTTTATCAATATGCAGTAAACAAAAACGAACAAGTGCTATAAAGTATCTAAAAGACCGTCTCAGAAGTTGAATCGAATTGGCAACTGTTCTTTGCTGGAATATTAAAAAAAAGCTTCAGGCATTGAAATCAATATATTTTCTTAGAAAACAATGAAGCAGACGGGTAAGTCGAAATTTGACTAGTTGAATCTTCGAATTTATTCGAGTTGAAATTCTGAAGTTGTTTTGAGAAACAAAGTGACGCTTAATATAGAAATGTTTGGTTACACAAATAGAATCAGAATCATAGTGAATTTTTTAAAATTTATATTGATGTATTAAGGATATTTTTTGTAGATATAAGGTTATAATGTTATCAGAGACGCACCAATACGAGTACTACTGATACCAGCATGTCCTAGTCAAAACACTAATGTGTTAATGTATATATCATCATACATCGTCACGTACCGGAATCTACATGCAGTACTTTGACCACATATATACAAGTGAAAAACATGGAATTCTAGAATTCATGTATCGGTACGAAATCGGTATATAGTGCTCGATATTTCCGTATGCCTGTATTACGATAGGCACCTTTATAAATTGAGTATGTAGGTAGATGCATACACGTATTGCGCATCAAGTATATGTTAGCACATGCTGATACATGAGTTGTAGGAGTGTTTATTTATCTGGTAGAATGGCGTTATTTTCGAGAGTATATTTTGTATCAGTATTCACGCGCTTCTCAGTGTAACAATAGTAAAAGAAAATATACTTTGTCGAATTTCTAATACATTCTTATTTGGTTATCACAATGATCTATTTTCTTGGTTTCAATATGAAATGCAAAAACTGCGTTTCGCTACTGAGTAACCGATTATTTATAATAAGTAGAAAGACGACACTCAACAATCAATTTTCGAGAAGTTCGCTAATAAAGTTAACAAACTAGACTAACTTATTTTAGATCTTTTAGACTAAATCTTGTGACATAAAAAGTGTAGAAATATAGTGTCTGTTTTTTAGAGATAAAGTTCGATACTGTTCAATTATTTAGCATGCAAGTAATCTATGAGATGTTATAAGACTTGTTTGTTCTGCCCAATGGCTTGAAAGAAGTACTACTAGGCTTGAAGAAACTTTTTGAATGATTCCCTTGGTTTTGTGTTGTCCATTGTTAGATATCGTACTCATGCGATTTCATATTAATTTTTCACATAACTTCACGAAAAGAATTCAAGTAATATTCTGATATGAACATATTTATTAAGAAAAAGCAATAGGATCATATCCGTTTGAAGTATCTTTTTTCTCAACTGCTTGATTAATATTTCAATCCGGTGTAATAGTTAAAGTTCTTCGCCAGTATCTCAACGATAATCCAAAGTACTTTGAATGCAGCATCAAATATGCGACAAGAAAACTTATTGTTCGAAGATCGTGGGAACGATAGATAGGCAGCATATAGTTAGCTCAAATATTTAGTATTTAGCTGATTACATATGTAGTTACTACGATAGATAAGTTAGACTTGCGCATAAATAAGCAGATAGATAGATAAATACGAATATTTATGTGTAATTAATTGAGTCAATTTATAGATATATGTCAAGAAACAATTTTAGAAAACTCGACAGAAACTATGTATACAGTTTGACTAGGTGAAGTTTGTGTGACACAAAGAATCATCGACACTGACAATATAAAAGTAAGAATGAATGCTTCATTTCTTTGATAAATTATGTTTTATTTTGAAACTGATATCTAATGACATCTATCATAGAAATATATTCAAATAAAAATTGATTGGTGAATAAATGTAGTCGTTCTCTTTTTTTTTTCTGTTCTATTCTATTCTATAACGTCTTTTTTTTTCTTCGTTTTCTTCTCGTCGTTGTGTCGCTTCCAGTTCTCTCCATTTAATATTTTTTTCTTTTTAGCTTTTTTTTCTTCTTTCCATCATCCATTTCTTGGGCGAGTTGCCATCGACCGTCGTCCTTGGTTCTTCACCTACCCTATGTCTTTTCTATTTCTTCTTCTTCCTTTTTTCTTCGCTCGTTCGTTCGAATGCACATATTATACGCTCAAATCGACGTTGCTTTATTGCGATCACTTCTTCTTTTTTTTCTTCTTTCTTCTATGCTTTGCACAGTAAGTAAAAGAAACGAGAGACAGGAAGAAAAAATCACTACCACTACTACTAACCGAACGATGTGTCTAGCGCGAAAATGTATGTTGATAGTTGTTTCTGTCTTTTGACAACGTTGTTCTTTACTTTCTCTCTTTCGCTCTCGCTTTTTAGTCGTTGAAAAAAGAACACAGAACATTTTTCGTCTATCCTTCTCTTTCTATGAGATAATTCATATAGAGATATTTTTTTCAGACTAATGACCAAGAGAAACGATCAGCGTAATACTCCGTCTGGTTGTGGGAGTAGTACAACAATAAACGATGGTATTATTGTTCAACAACAACCTGTTAGTGAACAACAACAACATTTTGTATTATCTCCAGTGAATAATTCAGCACCAATGATTATAACCACTCCACTAGGTAAAATATGTCGTCATATTAAGTATTTTTATTTTCAAAAATTTTATTTTAGCTGTTCCTTCCATAATCACTCAAAAATTACCAACCACAGCAACAAATAATCAACAACAAACCGTTGCCACTGTGACAACTACTCCTGTTAATGCAGTTAATACAACAATTCCAAATAAAACAACAACAACAACAACAACAACAAAATCAACTTCACAAGAACGATTAGTTTGTAGCCTTTGTAATAAAGTCTATCGATCGTCAGCTGGCCTCCGATATCATAAACGGAAACGACACCGAGGTACGGAAATAGAAAAGAAAAAAAAAAGAAACTTATCTATCATCTTATAATTTTTTTTTTTCGTTCGGAAATATTTAGATGAAGGAATGCTTAAAGCAGCTCAATTGCATCGAGTACGATGTTTAGAAAATGGATGTACCTATCAAATGTTAGCTATATCAGACTTAAGAAATCATTTGGCTAATCATCATTTAAAACCTGAATATAAAACAACTGAAGAAAAAAAATTTAATTCATTTACTGGTAAGAAAAAAAAATGTATCTAAATTTTCATGCACTTTATGAAATTTAAATTTTTCAATTCAATAGAAATTTTTTTTTTTATGAAATTTTATATAAAGTAATTAGATTTCAATTCTGTAGTAGAATTCATTGAGATCTATTTATAGTTATGAAACTTCGATAATAGCTTCTCTACATGTCATTTTCTTGTTATATATACAACCAATAGATGACAGAATTAATTTAACATATATAATATTCAAATTGTTTGTATTCACGGAAGAGCATTATTCAAATTTCATTAGTTTTCCTTGACTTTATGTATATAATGAAAATATTGAATAAAAAAGAAATTATTTCTGAGTATAAATGAAATCTTGATTTTGTTTTTGTAATATTAAAATAACATTTTCTAGTATTTATAATTACTTATTAGATTAAAGGTGTCTAGGAAATTTGAGATGTATTAAATAGATTTTTGGTTAGTACAAAAGTTACATTCCTTTGATTGATTTAAATAAAAAAAAAAGTCTGATGAATACGATTGAGTATTTCGCACTTGAATTACAATACAGGAAAAGGTCGTTTACCTTGTTCGTACTTTTTTGACTATTAGAAGAATATAGAGCGGAGTTACCTGTACTATTAATATTAATTATCCAACGTTCGAATAAACCTAATCTGCGTGGGATCGATTTGTCTATGACAGACTGAACTTCTTCAACCTGTTCATGTCTATCATCTATTTTCATCAGTGTAGCATGTATGCCTGTTGCGGTCTGTTTTTTTTTACATGCTGATACTATGATGATAATTGAGTGGAAGCATAAGACTGTCTTTATACGACGGCAAAGAAGCCATATATACTAAAGCGACATGACTACGTGAAACATTTACTCATTAAATGATATATATATATATATATGTATGTATATGTCGTAAAAAAAGTAAACCTTAACATTTAGAGGAAAACTGTATTTGTCCTAATAGGAGAACAGGGTACTTGGTCTCTCACACTTTTTGCAATATGTCTGTCAAATTGTAGCTCCTCCCACATTAAGAACTATCGTTTTTTTTGCGATATAGCTATTTTGAATAACTTAGTTGATGATGACATTTTAAATCCTAGTATACTACGATACTATAAATATGAACCAAAGAAGAATAAAAATTAGTCAACGATTCATCTTAGATAATAAGAATAATCAATTAGAAAGTATAAAGAGTAATTCAGCGAAATAAATAAATGAACAATGTAGTCATCATCTATAGATGTATTTAGAGAGAATTATGTCTAATCTTCCAACAGAAAATTTAGTTGACTCTATATTTGGATACTTAGATTTCCTGTTCACAAAAAACGAAACGAAGTTTTTCATTTAAAATTTTTAGAAACAAAAACAAGATTACAGTCAAACATTTTAATATTAATTATTTATTTGCTTTTTTAGAATTCACTGAATGGAAAGCTGCTTTTGAACAAAGTAGTGGTTCAAAATATGTGAAAAATTGTGGCTCAAAAGGAAAATCTGAGAATCAAACAACAGAATATTATTATTGTAATCGTACCGGATTATGTAAGTAAATCTTTTTTTTTCTTAGAAAATTTAATTTGAAAAATTTTCTAGATAAACAAACACGACAAGGATGGCGTCGTAATTCTAAATCACATGATTCAGTTCGTTGTGGTATTCATTGTACATCATCCATGAAAGTTGATATAGCTCGAAATGATCAAATATCCGTACAGTATTATCCAACACATTATGGTCATACAGCTGAACCACCATTACAAGTACCACCAACAGCTACTACAACTAATACAACATTAGGAACAACAAATGGTGAATTAGTTGAACAACCATCTGTCCAAAAACAAACAATTCCGCCCATTCAAACTGTTGTACAAACGACTGTTCAACAACAACAAACAACAACTGATCATTGCGTTAGACTTCAACATCAACATCATGCACAAACATCAAGTATTATTATTAATATTGCTCCTGTAAGTATTTAGCATTTTTCTTTATGCACAATCAAATATTGTTAGATACAAATAAGTCTTAAGATTCTTAAGATAATTTGATTAATATTTACATAAAAAAATACCATAATACTATTTCTCTCGAAACAGAAGGTGAATTCATCCTCTTATTTTCTTTTTTTCCAGGTAAATACAACAATCATCAAATGCGTATGATTTCTGTATATATATAAGTCTATCTTCAATATTCACATATGATTATTTCTTTCTTCTTCCTATTGACATCAATGAAACAACGAACACTAGATTTATTATTAATTGCATAACAATATTCGTTTTCTTTTCCGTAGAAAAAACATATTATTGATATAAGAAATATTTATCCATGAGTAGTTTTAACAGTGAAAAAACAACTTGTCATAACTATCTAAGAAGAAAAAGGAAAATGAGGAAAAATAAGTTTTTTTTTTCTTTTGTGTCTTGCGTCTTTTACACATGTTTTTTGTACAGTGGCTTCTTTTGTTTTTTCTGCTATATATATATATATATATATATATATGTATGTATATGCATCTAACGCCCGGTTTCTTAATAAAATACATGCGCGCACACTTTTCCTTCCGTGCATATATATATATATATATGATGAATAAAAACCATTGTCGTTTTTCTGTTTTGTTTTTTTACTTGTTGATAAATATTTTCATTTTTTTTTCGTCTATAGCTTTTGGCCTCTTTTTCCCTCTCTTGTCTGTATCTGACTATTACTTTGTTATTCTTTAACCAACAACATACTTGTCTGTTTTTTTGTTTTGTAGCGACGCCTTCTCTTTTCGGTTTCTTTTTTTCTCTTCCAAAAATTGTGTTCGTTCGTGTTTTTTTTTTTTTTTAATTTCGAATATAACCGAGAAAAAGCATATGACTAGTGAATAATATTCATTCAGAATCAGATGTAATGGGATTGTAGACTTACATGTAAAAGGTGAAAGATTTAATTAAATATTATATTATTAATTATTTCTCTTCTAGATAATTTTGTTTTTTTTTGGTTTTGTTCTTCATTAATATGACTAAGAAAACTTCGTCGGCTGCATCATCACCAGCAGCATCAGTTGATAATAGTAGTTCATCAGGTCGATTTGTTTGTTCGATGTGTTCAAAAGTATATCGATCTGGTGCTGGGTTACGATATCATAAACGGAAGCGACATCGTGGTAAGTTAGTCTTATCCTAAAATGAGATTTCTTTTATTAACTATAACGAAATATTGAAAAACAATAAATTGATTCAAATAGATAAAATTTTGAAATATTTTTATTGTCTTCCTTTTTGTTGGCGAAGGCATGGTTGAACCAACTGCACTTCATCGAGTCAAATGTCAAGAGCTCGGTTGTACATATCAAATGTTGGCTATCTCTGATCTTCGGTAATATTTAATAGAAAGAAAAAGAAATAAATAATAAAGATTATTGTTTATTGATTAATGATTGTTTTGCAATGAATAACAGCACATTGCCATTTTGACTTGATCAACTTTTCATACAAATGTACATTCACTATTCTAAAGAGTAAACATGTGCATCATCATAAATCATTCGATTGGGATTTTTTCGAGTTAAAGTGACATTAGATGTTTTTTGTCAGAAAAGTTCAATTTATTACTGTTAATATAATGCAATAAAAATATCTAGTTTCTAAAGATCTATTTTGTCATTCTAAAGTTTCTTATCATTGTAGAAAGAATTATGTGATTATTCTTCGGAATGAAAACTCGCGAATAAAAAATCAGAAAATAATTATGTATTTAATAGCCATATTGAAAATCATATAAGATAACAAAAAATAATTATGAGGGTATTTTCTATGAAACAATCTAAAAGGAGTATTGAAGTACAGAGGTAAAGATTTTGATTTCTACAAAGTATGACAGATGTTGATATACGCTCCCAAATCCTATATCAATAACGTCTCATTATGATATATATGAACTACTTATCCTCGTGTGATTAGCAAAAGTCACTACATTGCATTTCACATTTTAATCCTGTAAGAATAGCTCCAACAGCTTTTTCGTAATAGAAAATTTATATTTTGTTTTTACATTTAGAAACCACCTTGCAAATCATCATCAAAAACCTGAATATAAATGTACAGAAGAAAAAAAATTTACAACTATAGCAGGTAAAGTAAATTTCTAAATTATTATTATTATTATTATTATTGTTTTCTATTTTGATTATAAAAGATTTCACTGATTGGAAATCATCATTTGAATCTAGTACTGGTTCAAAATATGTTAAAAATTGTGGTGCCAAAGGTAAATCAGACAATCAAACAACAGAATATTATTATTGTAACCGTACGGGACCGTGTGAGTGATATCAAATAAAAAAAAATATTTTCTTTGAAAAAAATTGCAACAATTTAAGATAAAACAGTTGGACAAGGTTTACGTCGTAATAAAGCTCAAGGTTCATTACGAGGTGGAATTCATTGTACATCATCAATGAAAGTTGAAATACAAAATGATGAACATATTACTGTTCAATATTATCCAGCTCATTATGGACATTCAAATTTACCAGCATCTGATGAACCACAACATTTATCTGAAAATAGTACAACTATAACCGGTGCTAATCTTCATCAACAACATCATCAACAACAACAACAACAACAACAACAACAACAACAGCAGCATCATCATCATCATCATCAACAACAACAACAAGATAATTCACAACATGGTGGTGATCGTTCATCATCATCATCACCAGGTTCTTCATCAACAAGTCCATCGGGTGGTTCAAACTCAAATTCAAATCATCCACCAATGAATATTGAAAGACAATCAATAACTACAACAAATTCTTTTCTAAGAAATACTAATATCAGTAATAATAATAATAATTCAATACAAAATCAAATGTCTCATTGTATAATAATATCACCATCATTTATGGTTGAAGAAAATCTTTCTACACATTCAAATCATCATCATCATACACCGGTGTTTGTTGTTCAACAACATTTACCAACATCATCGAATGCTATTATTAGTCCTCCGACAAATTTACCAATTAAAAAAGAAAAATGTGTATCAGATATAATGCATGAAGCATTTCAATTATTATCTTATTGGCCATTGGATCATCATCATGGCTTGGTTACATCAGAGAATGAACAACAAATTTCCCATTCTCATTTTAATATGGATGAACATCTTATGTTCTAAGTCTGTTGTTTTGTTTTGTTTTGTTTTTTACTTTTTTTTCTCAAGTGTGATCAATTGAATACGTCCTTTTTCTTGTTTATTCAAAACAGTGCTTGTACTTTGATCAACATTGAACAAAGTCTTCTTTTGAGACATATACAATCATGGTTTTTTTTCATTCCTTTATTATTACTTGGTTTTTTTTCTTTTGCGGGTATTTCTTTTGTTTCTTGTTCGTGTTGTGCTTGACACGCACATATACCGATAACTACTCTTATTACACATACAAAACAAGAGATCTTTCTTTATCTTGTTATCACTTCCATGCGCACATATGCACACGGTTTCGTTCTTTTTCGTCTTGTTTATCCTTGTTTTGTTACAAAAAAGAAATTCGAACAATATAGAAATATATAAATATATTAACATGTATATATGAAAGAGATTTCGTAATGATTTTGCATATTGGTTATAAAAAAAAAATTCATAATTATCTATTTATTTCCAGATATTTTTGCTTCATGTCAAACAATTTTATCCATGCTTTTTTTCTGTTGTTACTCCTATTCGATCATAATCCAAAAGCGTCAATATTGATAGATAAACAACAAATATCATAATAAAACTCATTTAGCACAAATTGAAATCCATCAAGTATCGAATTTATTGAATGAATTCATACAAGATCACACATTTTCTTTTTATGAAAGAAACAGAAACTAAATACAAAAGAAAACAACAAGATATTAATATCGACACCAACATTGTGAGTTATATTCTTAATGAGGATCTTTCACAAATTAATACAATATGTATTGATCAGAAAGAAAAAAAAAGAACAATCTATTTTCTACCAGGTGACTTGTTTTCTCCTTCAATATAACACTTTTTATCTATGTGCATAGTTAATCTTTTTAATACTCAAGGTAATGAAACACAGGCGTTTGAATTCTGACAAAGGATATAAGAAAAAAACGTGACTAGTTCATAACAAAGAAATAAAATACATAGTTCGTATACGTAAGTAAATATAATTAATTAATTTGTTTGTAATTTGATAAACTATTGTCACGACTTTTGTTAATATTTTTTTTGTTTTGTAATAGAAGATTAGTTGATTTTCAATGACTATAACAATTATTTATATATCTATTTTAGAAATACAATAATAAAGAGTAATATCATGGATTCGGTACCATATACTGAACGACGCAATGCCTTGACAATGAATATTGACACAGATACTGTAGAAGGTAGATGAAAATTATTGATTTATCAGCTTTGAACTATTTAAAATAATTTTTTTTTCTTCTCTCACTTACTAAATGACTTTTCTAAAGTCAATTTTGAACTATAAAGGAAATGAAAAAATTGAGAACTCACATATTCTTGATCAGTTTGTCAAGGTCTTTCTAATCGTACATAAAGCAAAGAAAAGTTCTGCTTCAATTTTGCATTTCCGGCACCTTAGAATTCTTTTCGAATGCATTAAACTATGTATGAATCGAGAATTTATCTCAGCGATACTGTCTAAATGATTGCAACAATGTAGATGTGAACTCTATTATCGTATATAGTAAAGGCTTATAATCAATTTTGAATTTGTTTGCTTATAGGTATTGTTGATCTTCTACATGAATGTAATCGAGAAGTTTTTGATGGCTATGAAAATCATAAAGTAAATACTTATTATTTGTTTATTTTATTCAAAAAAACGTTAATTTAGGGTTTGTTGGATGATGAATTTTTAAATAAACTCGATCGACTTGTTACACTTGTGAGAGCAACTTTACAAGTATTATGAATTTTTTTATTTAAA